ATAGTGCCAATTTTCACATGAAAAGATTTATATTATATCTATATTTCAAGTTTATCTCGATTTTTTATTTTTGTTCGATTTCAAAATATTCTTCACCGAAGTTATTATATGCCGTTTTTCTGCCTTGGTAAGCTTCACGAAGTTCTGAGTTTATTCCAGTCGATTCGATTAACAAAAATAAAAATGAAAATAAAAATTTTCAGCTGTTTGTCGATAGCTTCAAAATGAAAAAGGATATGTAATATATTTCTTTGCCAAGTTATTCGTTAATACACTAGACACAGAAATTAAGAGATATTAAAAAAATCCCAACATTTTGGATGAGTTAAAGAGCTGCAACTTGGAGGAAAATGGTCGTAGAAAGCATAAAAAAGGAAATTGAAGTTTCAAGTGTCTAGTTTTGGGATCTGGAGTTCGTAAGCAGTTTTTGAGTGATCAAAAGAAACATAAAAAAAAATTGCATATTTTTGCTTTTCTTTAAAAAGATCTATGGATTTGTGGTTCAAGGAAATGATTACCTACATCACCGAAATCCTTGAACCACATATCCTGCCCATGCGTACAAACATGGGAAATCGTTTCATTCTCAAGAAGGATAATGCTCGTCTTCATACCGCAAAACGTACGAGAAATTTTCTTCACGCCAACAACGTGGTAACTCTCAACCATCCACCTATGAGTCCAGACTTGAACCCCATTGGACATGCTTAGGACATGCTCGGGCGTCGATGACGACGAGAGTATCCGCAATTACAAAATCACCATCAATTTATCTAGGCTCTTTTACAAACTTGGCAAGGAATTACGCAACGAGACAGCCGGCCTTGCATTCATATGTGAGACCGCTTAGAATCGATGATCAGGAACAGACAGAGGCGGCAATATGCGATATTAAATTGTAATCTGCAACGTCAAATCAACCAAATTTTTGTTTGACGTTTGTGAAGCTTGTGAAATAATTATTAAAAATTTTTGTTTGTCATATTATTTTTTGGAATTAACGTTTTTTGATGAAGAAAATATGGATTATTACTAATTAAACATTTTTAACTTAAAAAATTAATAAAAATTGAAAAATTACTTATAACATTGATTTTCTGCAAAAACGACAAATTTAGACATTCCGGGCACTAAGAAAAAAAAATCGCAAGGTTTTTAAATTATCAGTGTTTCTTTAGGACACTTTGAGGTTGAAAAATTAGTCAATATCCTTAGTCTATTAATTATTTGCAAAGTTATACATAATTATGCAAATTTTGACCTTTTCTCTAACCTTTACACTTCAAAAAGTCAATAATTACGATTTGTAGAGAATAGTTTTTTTTCAGTTTTCAAAACCCTGCTTGGATTTTCTGTACGATCATTATTTCCTGAGTAATTCATTGCCAAAGTCAAAAATTTCCCTCCAAGTTTCAGCTCTTTGAACATCACTTAAAATTTTGGGATTTTTTAAATATCCCTTAATTTCTGTGCCTTGTGTAAATTCTGCAACTCAATTTGTTTTAATCGAACTTATAATAATATATTTTAAGATAAAGGAGATCCTAATGGTATGACTCTGATAAACACCTTGTATATACTCTCGTCAATTTTATTTTTTTCAGACTGATTATAAGAAATTCACCCATATTTAATATTATGTCCAATTTAATTCGAAACGAACTATATAAGGCAAACTATTACTAATTCTTTTAATTGCATCCACATGAAAATGTATGAATATTATTCAAAATTGCCTCTGTCACATAGAAAATAACATTTAAAAAAAATGTTATGATTGTATTTTAGTTCCTATATAAATATTTTAAGCATGTCTGAAACATGCTCTGTTTAAATTAAGTTAATTGTGAAAAGGTCCCTGCCAAATTAATTAATTTAGCGCCTGTTTTTCCAACAGACAAATAAACTTATTTGTCAACTAAAACTAAATTTGTGTCTGTCACTTATTTATGCATGTAATTCTTAAGAGAAATAGATTTAATTGGCAAATACATTTCTTAGGAGTAGGAAAAAAACTGACTGAGGCAAAAATGGCATTTTCGACTTAAAAAACGATAAAAAGTGTTTTTCGTATCAACAAAACTGTAACAGAATCCTTATTTTCGCATATACAGGGTAGCCCATCGAAAACGTACCGCAAGGCATTACAGGGTAGTAATGAACTTTTCGGCAAAATCCAAAAACAGGTAAAGGTTGCTTCTGAGGGGGACAACTTTTGGTGCAAAAAGCATAGCAAAATCTTCAACCCCCTAAGTGGGGGTGCCATCCCCCAAATTTTTTTAAATGGGAATGGGTGTCAAGTGGGGGGTCATTAGAAAGGGCTTTTAATTCTCTATACATCGATTCTTACTTTTTGAAAATCGATCCATTATTTTAGAAAATATGCAGCTTTGAAAATACGAACAATATTTTTGACGAGAAATGCGAAAATCGATTTAATTTTACTTCAAAACTTACGGTATTAGCTTGGTAAATTCCTTCAAAAGAATTCGCTTTTTTTTTTTCTGATTTGCGAATTCTTTAGCCTGATTTTGGTGAGCAAAAAATTGTCCGCTTTTTGTTTCGTATTTAGATAGGCCACAAGAAGTTGCTAGATAACTGTCTTGTGACTTGTAGTTGAAGAGTACCAATACTGCCGAGTCTTTTAAATTGATTAATTATGGTGTACTCAATTCCAGAAAGAGTAGAAATTATTGAGCTTTTTTTCAAAAACAATGAATGCGGAAATCGGGTCGCCGAACTGTTCAACCAACGGCATCCTGAGAAACATGCGTCTGGAAAAATTGTTCGCGAATTGGTGGCCAAATTTCGCGAAACTGGCTCCGTTCATAACAAAAAGAGGCAGGTTGAAAATCCGGTACTAAATGAACCTACGGAAATAGCGGTATTGGGGCAAGTGGCAATGGATAGTACGCTGAGTACAATGCAATTGGCTACTGCGACAGGAGTGAGTCGTACAAGTGTCCAACGAATATTAAAAAAATACAAATTCCATCCTTATAAGATTCGGCTAGTGCAAGAGCTAAATGAAGACGATTTTGATCGTCGTTTGCAATTTTGCGAAATAATGACTGAACGAGCGATAAACGATAATTTCCTCTTTAATGTGTGTTTTTCGGACGAGTGTACGTTCTTCTTGAATGGTTTAGTGAATCGCCATAATTGTCGTTACTGGGCTGATACCAATCCAAGGATTTTCCATGAGACACACTCCCAACACCCCCAGAAGTTGAATGTATGGGCAGGTATTTTTGGAAATTCCATTGTAGGTCCTTTTTTCCTTCCTGGAAATTTGACAGGCGATATGTACTTGGATTTACTACAAAATGTCATCGACCCAGCTCTAACAAATATCATAGAGGACGACCCTGCTTACAATGAACACGAACTGATTTTCCAGCAAGACGGAGCTCCTCCACATTACTCGCTCAATGTGCGCAATTACCTAAATGAGACGTTTCCAGGACGCTGGATAGGACGAAGAGGTGCAATTGAGTGGCCCCCTCGGTCACCCGACTTAAATCCTTTAGATTTCTTTCTCTGGGGGCACATTAAAAGCAAAGTTTACAGCACTCCACCTGATACCTTGGAAGATCTGCGAGGACGAATCATTAATGTATGTCGCGAAGTAACACCGCAAGTGCTCCAGAATGTTCGACAACGGTTTGAAGACAACCTGTATCATTGTATGCAAGTTGGCGGACAACATTTTCAGCATTTACTTGACTAATACCGTAAGTTTTGAAGTAAAATTAAATCGATTTTCGCATTTCTCGTCAAAAATATTGTTCGTATTTTCAAAGCTGCATATTTTCTAAAATAATGAATCGATTTTCAAAAAGTAAGAATCGATGTATAGAGAATTAAAAGCCCTTTCTAATGACCCCCCACTTGACCCCCATTCCCATTTGAAAAAATTTAGGGGATAGCACCCCCACTTAGGGGGTTGAAGATTTTGGTATGCTTTTTGAGCCAAAAGTTGTCCCCCTCAGAAACAAATTTGACCTATTTTTGGATTTTTCCGAAAAGTTCTTTACTACCCTGTAATGCCTTGCGGTACGTTTTCGATGGGCTACCCTGTATGAGTAGAAAGAATAATTGCCTTCATCTGCCTTCTTTAGTTAAAAATGACTAAGTCAAAGGTTAAACTATCGTATTTAGATCCCCAAATTCTGTTGAATCATAAACAAAAGCACCATTCAGCATTGAAATTTCCAGGGTAAATTTTCATATATTATATTGATATTAGTCGAGTAAAACGTAAAAAGCCACAGTATTTTTTAGGGAAGGCATTTAACCAACATGTGCACATGACGTTAACTTTAGTGCGTTATTTAGAATGATAAAGGTCTCGACACATTGGGGTTTTACGTCGAGGTGCGGTTATTAAATTTCAGAAGGCATCGATAACTTGACAAACAGCTGTCAGAAGCAGCTGACAAGCGAGAGGTTTTGAATGCGTCGTACTCCGTACGGAGCTCTAAAACTAACAAAACTTGGATCTTTCGAATGGAAAGTTACAATATAGGATCTAATTCGAGGGGGTAATCATTCATGATGAACTTGAGAGTGTATTCATGTGAATTCGTGATTTTTTTCTGAATTAGAACTTCGTAAATATCCTAAGCAGGATTTGTTTGTCCTTAAAATGGCCAATAATTATTGTTTTTGTGCTTAACGCTGTACCTTGCCTACCTAGACTATGCTACGGTTCAATAAGCTAACTTCAAATAAGGAGTGTTATTTGATTTTTACTTTTTACACGATTTAAAGTAATTTTGTCTAGAATATTGGACGTGAGTTTTAAGACTTTCGACTAACGCCGTTTTTTTTTCTAAATACTGTTGATACATCACAGCAAACAGGTATTAAAATAAATTACTTCAACAGAGCAACTTTTACGCTCTTCGCACTAAATAGTACACCCTTAAGCCCCCTACGAATGTCGTAAACCGAAAGCCGTGTAATATCATCCTGCTGAAAACTGGTATGTATTGCAGGAAGCCGTCCTGAGAGGAGAGATCATTACAGGGGACATAAAATGTCACTTTGGCTGAATCTTATACCTCAACTCCATCGGCCTGGAGAAGGAGACGACATTTCTATGAGGCATCATCATTTTCAAGAGGACGGTGATCAGTATTATGACGGTGAGTCTGAGTTAACACCTTCATAAAAAGGCAGGGATGTGTAATGTGCCGCTTTTATTTGATCTATCGCGTACAAGTCAGATGTAATACATTGCATAGGTTTGAAACTTCGAGTATGTACCTTACTTTTAAACAAATAATCTAGTTCTGAAGTAGATGTTTTTCAAAAACTTTCGTACAATGTTGACATTTGAATGCTGTTTCCTAAGTGTCAAAATGTCGCTTTAGTTAATTAGAGCGAAATACTCTTTTATTCTAAAACAAAAAAGACTTTCGTACAGCTCCTACTTATTGATTTAATTGGATATATTGCTGAGACTTTCTTTTAAAATAAAAAAAGTATTTTTTGTTCCAGTGTTTCTTTGATAAAAACATTCAACACATTAAAATGCCAATATTTTATAACAATTTTCTGAAAAAAGAATTTTAATATTCGTATTATTTTGTGCATTTTCGATGCATAAGGCTGCCCCCAAAATCAGACAAACTATTATCGACATAACACTCTAACAAGTTGTTAGAAATTTTTCCTTTTTTTCATTTCATCATATAATTATTTATTTGCCGCTATACGCAAACAGTTTCAGCTCTACCCTATGTGTTTTGGAACATTTAGTATTCACTCTAAGCAAGCTTAAGCTTAAGCAACGGCAGTCAAAATAGCCAAAATGTAGAAGTTCATAATTTTCCTTCTCATTGTCACCCTTTAATCGCGGAATACTCAGAGCCACTTCTATTCAACACAATCTACCAAATGATACCATAATCACTCCGATCGGACCACACCTGCGCTCAGCGCAGTCAGATTATACATATCTTTCTAAAATATAGCATTATATACGATACCTTAAACATTTCCAATAAAACTGTTGGTAATTTGGCACAAATAAGTTTTTGTAGATGCCAGTCTTTTTAAAATGTAACATTTTAAAGAAATACTTCTACTGCTTCTACGTCCATTTCTGGATGCAAATTCGTTCGATAACATAGGCCGACAAAAAAGGGATTTTATTTATTTATTTATGGAGAAGGGGACAAACATAGGCTTTATAGCCCAAAACAATGTCCACAAATTACTTAAAGCTAATTGAATATAAAAGTACAGAAATTATATTATAATAGAAAATGTTAATTTTCAATAATAGTTCCCTTTAAGAATCTTTTAGAACTAATGAGCGAGGAATGAAATCAGACCTATCATTTCTTATAGATTTTGATGTACTTAATCTAAAGAAAGGTAAAAAAATGTTCATGGTTTAGATTTTTTGTAATCGCAGGGACAAGTCTCTTCTATACAGGGTGATTCAGAAATTATCCAAAAAAAATTAATGTAGAGGGGACTCTTACAAATACAATTTTGTAAACAGCTCTGACACGTTCGTGTAAATAATAATAATCAATAGTGTCCACTTCGGTGTGAAACACTTAATTTTTTAAATATCCCCACAAAAAAAAAAGTCCAAAGGGCCTCGTATATGATACGCCACACTGTTGATTGGGACATTGTTGAGCGATTTGCCTGGTACTTACTTGAGGACTCTTTTCAACAATCTCTACTACCGCGTAAAGGCTGCTAAATTATTTTGTCTTGATTCACCATAAATTAAAACGATATCCATCAACTCCGAGTTGCTAAACACATAAACCATTTTTGACACTTGAAAAACTAATGTAAACACTTTCGCAACAATGGTAAGACTAAAATAGGATTTCAGTATTCGGAATAGCACAGTGCACAACGCGAATAACGCTAGAGACTACAGTAGCCTAGCAATGTAAAGGTTGAAAATACTACAACTACAATAACTTTTTCTCGGAAACTATAAGGATATTATAAAAGTTTGTTTGCGATATTGTCTCCATTTTTTATCTCAATACTATCTTTAGTAAATATGAAAAACACAGACTTTATACCGATTTTAACCTAGTTGACTGATTTCCTATGTATTTTTGGGTGCAAAACACGAATTTGATGTTCAAACTTGGCAGTTGACCCTTGTTAGGGCAAAAAAATCTTAAAAAACACTAAATTCTTGAGATTTTTCAATATAATTGAATTGTTGCCCATTTTGCCCTTGGAAGGGCAGAGTGCCCTTTATTCAGATCGGATTTATGTTGAGCACCCAAAAATATATACGAAAACACGAATTACACTACTTTTTTAATATAATTATAGTGTCCTTTTTTGCCATTTTCTGCATTAAAAAGGACCGTCCTCCAAGTTTAGACATTAAATTCGTGTTCTGCACCCGAAAATACATAGGAAATCAGTCATCTAGGTTAAAATCGGGATAGAATCTGTATTCTTGACAATTACCAAAAGTAGTATCGATGAATATTTTTTACTCTTCAAATTTTGTTTCAACGCAGCAAGATCTATAAAAGGGCCCACAGACGATGCAATTTGTTGTAGTACCGATCGTACAATAGGTTGCACTGTAAATCGTATAGACAGATCGTAGAAAGTTTTGACCACAAACTTGAAAATATTCCAAGCTATCGCTAGTACAATCGCCAGTCTAGTATATTGTTCACCATGGCATCAACTGTTTCAAAAAAGGCAATAGCTGTTGTAATTAGTCACATTGTTTTCGGAGGATACTTACTAGTATTATCTCTCAATAAATTTCTATAAATTCCTTTCTATGATTTTATAGAGCAATTTAACTACACAATGTACTACAATTACTTTTTTTAAATGAAATAGTATAACCAGTCGACAAAATTGACACACACGTTCAAACTTGTATATCCAACTAAGTTGCTATACAGGGTCGGAAAGTACCGATGGTCCATCTGCCGTTACGTGAGAGCGAGAGTCATAGAAATCCGTGCGATAGAGAAAGATGGTTATAATGAAGGCGTCTAATAGTCACCGCCCATTTCGTCCTTCCACAAATAAGAAGTGGATCTTATTTGTGGAAGGGCGAAACGGGCGGTGACTATGAGATGCCTTCATTATAGCCATCCTTCTCTATCGCATGGATTTCTATGTCTTACATATCGCTCTCACGTAACGGCAGATAGACATCGCTACTTTCCGAACCTGTATAAATGCTATACTTATGTACGACTGAACCGCGTACGATTGGTCGAACTACAACACCACACACGTTGCAATTATCGTTCAAATGGTTGGACCAACCAAGATCGTACAACTTGTAGTATAACAATTTGTATCGTTGGCCGTTTAAGACATGATAGGTCTAATCTAACAACCAAATAAAATCTCTTTTTTTCTGTCGACCTGTGCAGCCTACGATTTTTTACGATCGAGATATGAATTCATTATACCACAGCGTACATTTTTGCATTCGGTTATTTATAATTTAATGGAAGTAAAATTCCAATGATAGCTGCTCGGTGCTAGTTTTTTCAGCGTGTTAAAAATTGTTCCAGAACGGCAGTAAATTGCCAATTTAGGCAATTTGTGAATAGGAGTATATTTTCGGTAAATGTATTCCACATATATTTTAACATATGTAATATCTCTATATATATATTGCAATTTAAATTTGAGCTTCCTAAGTTGTAATGTAAAAATTTCTGTCTTTATTACATTTCCAAAAAAAATCATATTTCTATTAAATGTCTAGATCTCGAGCACTGCAACGAAATGTTAGTTATACAAATACGGAATCGTGAATACGAATGGACGATTTTTAAACCTCATAAATAAGATTTTTTTATTTTTGTCAAGTTATTAATAAAAAATACCAAATTTAGTATAATCAAAGAGATAAAATTTTAGATAAAAATCCAGATAATGCCATTTTTTAAGTATTTTCTCGATATACTTAGCAGCAATTAATTAATTAGTAACGTTAAGAAACTTAAGGAAACGAGCTTTGTAACCTTTTAATAAATACCTAAAATACACTGAAAATCCCTATCTTTTGTAGTATTATTTACATTCCTTTCTCTCTGATTCTTCGTTCTTGATAGCGCATTGTTTACAAACAACCCTTAGTAACCCCACTAAGATGTGTAAAGTAAGCAAGCAGATATAATTTTAAATGAATGCCTTTCAAAGGAAAATTACAACCAGCAATTCCTCTCAGGTTAATTATTTATCAGCGTTTCACAGGATTTACACTATAAATTCAACTTGTTGCATATCAAATCCACCCATTTTCAAATCAAATATGCAATCATGCAGAGAAACATCCTAAACATCCTATATTCCTTCCTTCCTTTAACAAAGTTTGATCACGTAAAAAACGGCTGCTACAGAGATTTTTGTTTCCGCATTTTACTTGGGATTATTTCATTTATTTTGATAATAATGGATAACATGAAACTAGCTAATCCAGTCAATGATTAATTTCTTATAAAATCAGGCTCATTGTTGTCAACAAGTTGTACAGTACAGTGAAATAAAAATTACTATGGATCGTAAAAGGACAATTACCTTTAGAGGAAGTTAGAGAAGTCTTTTACCTATCTTTATTCGAAAAACGCTACAATTCCTGCAATTTTGAAATATCTACCCGCACCGTACACAAAACAGACCTCAAGATAACAATTCCTTTCCATTTCCGCACCCAATTATTGCTGCCGCCACCTTCCCATACAAAATAACTTTCTCAATAGCCCACCGAACTGTTCAGTTTCATTCAGAACACTTCGCCATAGCTAATTTATTATTGAAATGTTTCCCCAGGTTCCGTCCGTGATCAGAAGGAAAAGCCGCCGCTTGTTCACTTCATCGCCCCACCGCCGCCAGTAACAACCGTTCGAGTACCGCCTGCCAGCACTTCACCCACGCCACCGCCTCCAAAGTCGGATACGGCTCTGCAGGTGAGTCTGTTATATGTAAAGGGTGTCGGGAACACATGAGCTGACACCCTCTACCCATATTTTAAATCGGAGCCGCGCGTTTCTGCACGTTTGTGGATAATTTTCCATACATAATTTTGTAATACTAAAAATTTAAAAAATGAAAAGTCAACTCATTTTTCGTTTTAGCATTTGTCATTACTAAAAATGTACAGTTCGACTTTTTGATCTGGCCAGCCAGATGTGCAAACATATGAGAGAAAGAGAGAGTACTATCTAAAAAAGTGAGAAGATCGAGTGATGCAAACAAAACTACTTTCGGACAAAATAGCCCAGTCATTATAGACATGAAAGAGCCTGTTTCGGGAAAAAATACTATAAGAAATTTATCTGCAGAATATTGTTCGAAAACCTGATATAAATAAAATATCAAAAAATCAACTCGAGGCTAGTTGGGAAACTTTGTTTTAACAGTGGTCAAAGTTATGGAAAAGTGGTTTTTTGACTCACGTAAAAAAACTATTATTCCTAGCGAAAAAAAGTTTATACAAAAAAGGTAGGTATTGAATAAGCCTATAAAATGAGAAAAGTCCGATTAAATTCAGATAATTTGTTTATGTACAAGAGCTCAAAAATGGTCGAAAATTTCCGTCTTTTTTCAATTGCTAATAATTAATGCAATTTTCATCGCAGATACTTGTATTTCAGGATTTTTGAGGCTTTTTACACCATTAATAAGTGGTAAAAATTTCAGCCCGAAAGTTCATTTTTCCCAAGCCCACATCCGTTGTAGAGTCTCGATCATTAGTTGTTTTTGTACCTAAATAGTTGTATTGACATATGCATTTACTGAGAATTTAGTTTTTCATATTTAATTTGTTTAAAAATGACTGAAAAAATGTTAATATTTATAAAATTGTTAAGACAGGTAATTATTATAAAATAAAATAGTAACCTCTATACTATAGTTTTCTTCGAATTTAAAAAAAAAATCGTTGTTGTAAGTTGATTAGAAGCTGAGATAATTTTTTTTTTTATTTAATCGCAGTGACCTTAATTATTAATATTAAGAGCCGAAATTTGGAGAGAGTATACATTAAGAGCTATGTTTTCATGTCCTACATTAACATTAAGGTAACAGTAAGGTTCAACTATTTAATTGCAAAAAAGAAGATAGCGGCGATGCGTTCTATTACTTGGTCTAGCGAACGAGTGGGGAGAGCGAGGCGGAGCATGCGCGCTTAACAATTTAGTAAATATTAACATTTTTTCAGAGTAATTTTTAAACAAATTAAATTTGAAAAATTAAATTGTCAGTAAATGCATATGTCAATACAACTATTTAGGTACAAAAACAACTAATGATCGAAACTCTACAACGCCTGTGAGATTGGGAAAAATGAATTGAAAATAGCATCTTCTTAGATAATAATAAATTCCGCCAACGCCAAACTAATGAAGCTTTTGGGCTGAAATTTTTACTACTTATTAAGGGTGCAAAAAGCCTCAAAAATCCTGAATTACAAGTGTATGCGATGAAAATTGGATAAGTTATTAGCAATTGAAAAAATCGTACAATTTCGACCATTTTTGAGCTCTTGCGCATAAACAAATTATCGGAAGTTAATCGGACTTGTCTTATTTTACAGATTTATTTAATACCTACTTTTTTTGTATAAACCTTTTTTCTCTATGAATAACACTTTTTTTACGTGAGTCAAAAAAACACTTTTTCATAATTTTGACCATTGTTTTAACAAAGTTTCCCAACTAGTCTCGGGTTGATTTTTTGATATTTTGTTTATAACACGTTTCTGAACAATATTCCGCAGAGAAACTTCTAATAGTATTTTTTTCCTGAAAAAAAGCTATAATGATTGGCCTATATATACTCAGAATAGAGTAAAAAATCACCCAACTACTGATAGTTAGCAGTAACTTGGATTTGAGTGAAACTCACTCATTTCTGATGCAATAGTTTCACTCAGTTGTACTCATACTAATAGAGTGAAAATTTCACTCCATCGGGTGTGGACAGAAATTGATTATTGAGTAAAATTGAGTGAAATTTTTTTACAGTGTAGTTAAAATGTTTTTCCCTAAATTTGTAAACAACAACGCTATAGTAGCAGATTTTCAATTTTTTGTTAAATAAATTGAAGTTGTCGCCTGTACTATATTGGGTAAAAAATAGCACACTCCGTATTTCTCTTAAATTAAGTATAAATGTAGGATTGCTTTAGAGATTCTTTAGTGTTCAACTGAGGAGTTTATTTTCTAAAGCAAGAAGGATTGTTCTGAATTTCCACAATTTCATAAAAACTGTTTTGAAGAACAAATATGAAATGAATTACAAACCGCCACCTTTCAAAATGTTTAGATTTGCCACAAGCTATTAATTATTATCCTTAATTACTTTTAATAACGGTCACAACTGACACTTGTTTTAGCATCATAGAATATGNAAAAGCGGACAATTTCGACCATTTTTGAGCTCTTGCGCATAAACAAATTATCGGAAGTTAATCGGACTTGTCTTATTTTACAGATTTATTTAATACCTACTTTTTTTGTATAAACCTTTTTTCTCTATGAATAACACTTTTTTTACGTGAGTCAAAAAAACACTTTTTCATAATTTTGACCATTGTTTTAACAAAGTTTCCCAACTAGTCTCGGGTTGATTTTTTGATATTTTGTTTATAACACGTTTCTGAACAATATTCCGCAGAGAAACTTCTAATAGTATTTTTTTCCTGAAAAAAAGCTATAATGACTGGCCTAAAACGAATGAACTTTCAGTTTTGTATTGAAGCAAAATATTTCCCATATTCATGGAAAATTGCTATTGGTAAGCCTTACCTAAAAATAATTCTCCTTTGACGTTTTCAGATATAAGAGTTATACACAAAATGGCTTTAGAAAGGGCTATAGTACAACAACAGCACTGACTGTTGTTACTAATTATCTTTTAGAAGCATTTGACAAAGGATTGGTTAGTGTTTTGGTGTTACTGGATTTTTCAAAGGCCCTTGACACTATAAATCATGAATTAATTTGTGCCAAAATGAAATAAAATGGTTTTGATCACTCTGTTGTAGAGCTTATCTCATCTTATTTAAGTGATCTCAAATAATTGTTGTAAATAATTCTTCCTCAAACTTAAGTATAAAGTTAGGTGTACCGCAGGGATCAATTTTGGGTCCATTGCTTTTTATAATTTACACCGCTGATATTTTAAATTCTGTTTCTGATTGCAAAGTGCAGGCCTATGCAGATGACACGGTCCTTTATTCACACTTTTTTGTTGAAGATATAGCATAGACTGGTGACCTTATGAATTCTGTACTTAATAATATCATGCAATTGTCAACAGAGCATAACTTGATGCTAAATGTTAATAAATCGAAGTTAATGTTGTTTAGTAGTAAAAATAAAATTAATATTGTGAAATCTAGTTTAAATATCAATTTGAATGGCGTCATCTTGCCTATAGTAGATGAGGCGAAGAATTTTTGACTTTGATCTTAGATTTAAGGGGCACGTAAAAAAACTTATGCAGAAGGCATATTCTAGTTTAAAGCTAATTTTTCGAGTCGTCATATTTTAAACTTTAATTTAAGTAAAATGTGGTGTGAGTCGCTTGTTTTGTCATTTTAATTACTGTGATTTTATATATGGCTGCTGTCTTGACAAATTTGATAAAAATCGTATTCAAAAAGTTCAGAATTCATGTTGGATTTTTGGATTAAGAAAGTCTGACCGTATTTCTCACATAATTAAGGAATGTATCTGGCTTAACATGAATAATCGGAGAGTTCATCATCTTACTACATTTGCTCATAAAATACTGATATTCCCCAATTCATCAGTTTTGCTCAAAAACAAATTTATAAAACGTTCCAATATCCACCAAAGAGATATTAGATTTAAAAATACTTTTACCCTTCCACATCATCGTACTGCTATGTTTAGGAGAAGTTTTATATATAATGCAGTTACCATTTACAATTCAATACCTAACCAATTTAAAGTTTTTAATATTAACAAATTTAAATATAAATATAAAAAATATATATTTAGCAAACAATAAGGTTATAGTTTCCTATGCATTATCCGCACCTGCCCGTCTCACTTTTAGACATTTTTAATATGATTAAAATTTTTTAAAATTTTAATTAGCTTATAATTTGCTTACTTTTTATACTTATGGTTTTTATTTAGTAATAGTTAGACAGCTGTTTATATACTTTTACTTTGAAATGTAGTGTACCTCATTTTGGTTGAGTATGAGTAGCTCTTATCTAGACTTCGCCTCGATGAGGTGGCATTGCTTTTCGCAATATGTTTACCTTTGTTCTTTTTTCTTATTCTTTTTTTAATATCTATTTCTCTTTATATATTTGTAGTTACAATAAAGCCGATTTATTATTATTATTATTATTATATAGTTACAAACTTTTTTCTTCTTTCTTGCAGGCGACCACTACCGAATGCCCCCCGAACAGCACCATTCTCATCCCCAGCCAAAACAAGAACTCCAACAACAATCTCCTCAGAAAACTCGCCTCTAGCCATTACCAGAGCTACACCACTGCTCTTACCGTCACCATCGCCGTCGGTTGCTTCCTGCTGCTGCTTAACATACTTATTTTCGCCGGTATCTATCACCAGAGGGACAGAGGGAAGAGTAAAAAGAAACAGAAGGAGGAGTTAGCTGAAGCAGGTAATTCCAGGGAGTTTTTAATATACTTACACCAACTAATGGGATACTAAGATTTGAACCATTATACTTGTATGTTCAACAATTGCTCAATTTTGGCAGTAATATATCTTTTTTTCATGTTGGTTTCAATTTCAGATTGAGATTGTTTGGAAGTAAAACATTTCGCATTAAAAATTCGTACGTTGCATAAAGCTCGTACATCAAACTTTTATTTATTAATTTACTTAAACTCAGATAGAACCGTATTAATTAATTTACCTTTACTGAGATGTTCTTTGTGACATATATTTCTTTTTTTTTCATACATGCATGGCAGTAGTAGGACTAAATCTTATATTTAGCCAACTTGTCAAATTTAAGATTAAAAAATTTTATTCTAACTATGTTTCCTACATAAGGATCTCCAACAATCTGATCCTGATTTAGAACATAGGGATATTCACGAAATTCTAACATTGGCGGCAGAAAATCAAAAACTACTGAGTAACAACCCCGTGCAAAAAATTTTGGTACATTTTTTAAGTTCTATGACAAAATATTTCTCATAAGTATACATGCAAATTCAGTTCAAGTATCAAAAATTTCAAATAATATACCAAATAAAAATCTAGAAAAATCCGTGACCGAATTATTTGAGTAAATGAAATCTTATTATGACATAAGATTGTGAGATCCCTAGAACAGACTTCAGTTGAAGGTAGAGTTCTTTTAATATCTCATGAGCCGCGAAATGCGCGAAAGGCGTAGCGTATCCCCATAATTCTTCTAATAAGCACGTTGTGAAAACATTGACTCAGAATTAGACCACGTGCCTCATTACAACTAGAAATGAACTAAGGCGCTCGGGCATCAATAAAGTCAACTGGCGAACGTTCGTTATATATATTTTTATTGTTTAAATTTAAATAATAAAGAATAGGGCATTTTATTATGATATTTGTAATCGGATCAAAGGCTTGTTTACGCTAGAGCTCGAGAGAGACTGTGAATAATAGGTGTAATGTTTTTAGGACGTAGAATAATTTAGGCGACGGTCGGAATTATGTTTCTGCGCATATGAAGGTCAAAGCTCATAAGATTTTAAAACATCTCTAATAAGCTGAGGATTAAATTGATTTGTTCTTTTTTTAACTTTTATGTAAACTATGATGCTACTTCCACAAAATGAACAAGGAACATGGAACGAATGAACAGAAGTAATTTATAATAAGTAATCCTAAACTAAAAAACACCACCAATTCCATAGCGAGAAGTTGCAAGAATGTCTCCTTTCCTTCACTTGCACCATCTTCTTCCATAAATTAATCAATCCTTTCTGACGTTTTTATAAACTCACCATTCGCATTTCCTAATTTCTCATATATTTGAGAAAATACATTCCTAACACGGAGACAATACATTTCTATAACTCCAATATTTTGATATGGACTTTTTGCGATTTTTATAAAAAAAGGATATTTTTAACAGCAATACTTATGTGTTTTACAAATGGAAAATTTGAGAAAGTATGAAATATTTCGCTAATAGAATATCTTCATTTGGCATAAAACCAAAATCATTTCATTTGACCCTTTGATATTGACATTAGATGTTATTCTGTAATTCTTTCGGGTTTGCAGGAATGCAGCAGACAAAATAAACTAAGAAAGTCTCCAAATTGAGATAGATCATGTTAATATTCCTATATTAGCTTAACATAACCTAACCTAACTTTATGTAGAAATTTATAAGATAACTTCAGATTTTTCTTTATATACGTTACATAAAAAAACTCAACCTAACCTATTCTAATCAAACTTTATGTAGGAATTTACCTTGCAAGTATTTTCAAACTGCAACGAAAATGTACAATCATTTAGAAGAAACGTATTTATACAGTCCAATAAATGAGTGAGACAAGACATATTCCATACTTTTTTATGAAATTATGGACAAGAAGTTTATACAGGGTGATTCAGGTTTAATCTGAATAACTTCAAAAATCGATGGAACAGGTTAATATAATGTTCATTCATGATACAAACTTATTTCCTAAATCGCATCAGATAGAGGGCGTTGAAATATAATTTTTTTCCCGCTTTTCCCTCATAACTTTTGAACCACTCATCCGATTGAGGTGAAATTCGGAACACAAACACTCCTTATGATCTTATATAAGCTTTTTAAGTTTGAACCACCTACCCCTCTTAGAAGTGTATCTTGTGTGCTACCCTCCTCCTATATTGCCTATATCAAAACTTCGAAAAATTAATTAATTTCAATAAAACAGCTGCATACGACTTTTGTCTCATGAATTTTGAAACTTTTTGGTCTTGACCTTGTTTCTGAGATATTCAATGAAATCCGTGACAGTGTAGAGCCCCAGCCGCGTAAATTTCATTTAACCCATGAAAAACAAAACTCACAATGATTTGTATAAACTGACGTTTGTGAAAATCATCGTTAAAGGTATTATTTCAAAAGAATTTTTAGTGCTAAGAAAAGGGGAAAGAAATTCCTTCACTCCGAAACGATGCGATTTAGGAAATAAGTTTATATAAAGAATGAATATTGTTTTAACCTGCTCTATGGATTCCTGAAGTTATCCAGACTAAACCCGAATCACCCTGTATAAAATACATTAACGCGAGTATTAGGTACTTATTTCTGATTTAACAAAAGGCGTTGTACTAAATATTTACCTTTAAAAGAATACGATATTTTATTTGTTTTTGATTACTGTAGACATAGTAAAGGCTTTTCTTTTGAAGATAGTAATATAGCTTCTCTAAAATTTGTGTTCCTGTATCTGACACATCGCCAAGAGCATACTGTACAACTCTTCTCGTCGTCAGCTGTATTTACCATTGCAATTACCTAAAATATAGCAAGCTGAGAAAAAGTCGATTGAAGTTGCGCGAGTGAATTATGCTGCTCCACTCGCATAGTCTCCCTACTCCACACTATTTATGCTCGATTCCTGTGAAATGTATCAATCTTTTTTGCATCAGAACAGTTAAAATATATTTCCAATTTAAACAAATTTTCATAGTTACAAAATCTTTGCTTCAAACAATCAAAATCACTTTTGATTGTTGTTGTACACTACGTTGTTTTGCCATAAACTCACTTCAATTTTGAGCTTTCATATCTCGACGACGATTCATCGTATTCACAAGATCAAAAGTGGATTTTGTTTGTCAATCGTTCCTCTATTTGATCCTATAATTATATTTGAAGAATACGCAAATACGGCAGCTCCAGCTCTAAATGTTTATAAGTATTTTTTCGAAGAAATTTTGAAAAAATTCTAATTTCTAATGGATAAAATCGAAAATTTTTAAATGGGGATTGATAGACTCCAACGGGTATGTATAAAAATTGGGAGCTCAAAATAATTATTGGTTTTACCGTGAGAGAGAATTGAAAAATATATAATTATGTATTTTCTTAATTAACAATTGAATTGTGCGAAATCTACCCGGCCGATTTCGATAAAAAATTTTCTGCAATACTACCATATCATGAAGTACCTACTCGGAACCATACTTTTTATATGGCTGCTCTAAAGTCAAGGTATAAATAAATTCTTGAAAAAAAAACATCTTTTTTCACATTTTTTTTCGCTCTATAATGTATTGTAGATCACATAAAAATTTCGGATCGCTTTTATTTTGAAGAGAATCTCAAAACGAAACTTTTTTTCCTTTGGCTATTTTCTCTAATGTCAATATTCTGCATAATATTTAGAACTATTTCCAACAAAAATTACTATTTGAAACATACATACCACCTACTTTTAAAACAGATACCGACTGCGCTAATTAGTTTATTCGATGTTGTGATGACACGTGCCATCTGTAAGGGTTTCTGTATTTTAAAACCTTCGCATACATAAGAGAAAGTTGCCTTGTTTATGAACTTACGTTATGTTTCTTTAGGAGTTTCACGCTTATTATAGGTCTGAAAACGCACAAATTGGGCCTTATTGCCAGAGGTATCTTGTATGAAAAAGAGTATATTTTTTATTTTCAACAAGTTCCTATGGAGGTAATGAAAATAACAAGACAAATGTATCACGATAGCTAGGATAGCAGCAAAATAACAAAACAAAAACATTATCTGTACTTCGTCGCCCATTTTTTCCCAAATAAAAAGTTGGCGACTGCAATAAATACCACCGCTGAGTTTCTAAGTATTAAATATTCCAGGCAGCTGCAGCAGCTCATCCGGGGAAGCGTACGAGAAGGCCTACGAATCCCGCCAAATAGCGTCGTTCGACTGCAACGCGACCTACCAAGCGACCTTCGAGCGCAAAATGATGCCAAACTATATCGGCGAGTTCAGCTGCGACAAAAGGTCGCTGGCCGACGTCCAGATGACGGAGCTGCCCCTGCAGGAGTTCAACTCGTCGCCGCCGCCAGCGAAACGACCCGAAGGCAACTCGCACAGCCACCCGCCGGACGTCACGAGCACGAGCCAGGACGTCCAGCAGCAGAGCGCCATCAGTCCGAGTATCCCCGAGCCCCCGCCGCCCCCCAGGGGGCAGCCACCCATAGGAACGAACCAGACGGGCATCTTGAGGGCGCAAGGAGCGCCCACCACCCCAGGGACTATGAAAAAACGCGTCCAAATCCAGGAAATTTCTGTATGAGTGTCAGTTTATGTTTTAATGTAAAGTGGACTATGTAAATTTTTAATAATTCAACAAAAATCAAAATCATATCTGACTGAAAGATGATTTTAAACATAGAAAAATGCACTGTGATTGTCATAACATTTATTGTCATAATTTTACTACTGAAGACTGTTGAGTGGTTGAGTTGTATTGATTTTGCCTGCCAGAGTCGTTTAGAGTTTAGCAATTTGATTTTCCAATTATTGAGACAAGTCGGTCTTGTGAAATTAGATTTTTTGTGAAAAATATGTTCTAAACTTCAAAAAAGTGCTTTCTGCCTGATTTTTGGATACAATTCAAAGATTTGCAATTTTTAAAATATATTAATGACTATGATAACATTCTATTTTTGCGGATCCTTCAAAGTTATATAAAGGGTGTTTCAGAAAAAGGTACAATAAATTCTAGAGATAACATGTATAGAATACTAGAAACAGATATTTTTCTATGAATTAATGTGTCTAACAAATACCCTGTAAACCAATCAAACCAAGGTATTTAGGGCCTCTCAAAACACAGATCTACCAAATTTAACTGCGATACGTTTATTATTTTTGAAAATATTGGCAAATTGTTTTTAAGAAATGAATTATTTATAATATACTGTTATTCCTAGAATTTATAGCAAGTTTCCCATTATGTTGTACATTTACTTTCAATATTCTAACTATGAAGGAATATGGCAAACTTTCAACGTCATGACAAACAGATCAATAATCTTATTTGTTGGCACTGACTTCCTTTCTCCCTCTTTTTCACATATCGGAAACGTACTCGCGCCAGAATCAGATCATCAGTTGCTTTAAATTATTATAATGAAACTAAGTGACAGATCATATGTGTTTAAATAGGGATTAAAGGACCACGCACACAGTTAAAGGAAATCGACAACCCATCAAATTGTCTGAAAATGAAATATGTTATAGTTGGAGATGCCCCAATCAAAAGTTGTCACGGGCCCAAAAATGAAAACTTATCGAGATACGCGACATTGAAAGTGAGGAGTCCCATCGAGCTTATATATAGTTTTTTTTTTACGGAAAGCCGGTATGGTACTTCTATCTTTATCTCTTTCTCTCTGAGAGAAACCAGGCAAGTTCGCTGATCATAAAGTCCTTTATCTGAAGTCTTATGAGCTTTGGAAAACCAGCTTTTATAGCTGATGTAAGTTACCATAATCTTATCATTAACGACTAAAATTGAAGACGGTGGTCAACACCATAATGACTTCACAGAATTTCATGAACTTACAGAAGATTACAAACTTAAACTTCTTCTTCTTCTTCTTCTAGTGGTTGGTCCTAATAAGTCCCATAGCACTGCGGCCTGATTAGGCCTATTGTGCGTCCCACTACTAGTCCTATTCAGCAAGTAGATTTGTGCTTTTTACAAAGTCCAAAAACTTCCTTGCTGACACTTCTCTCAGTTCCTTGGGTGCCAAATAGGGTCTCCCAAGGAGCACCAATCTGCTACGTGCAAATCCCGGGCACTCGCCCAGGATATGCAGAAAAGTTTCATTTAGCTTATGTAGATTTTCCTAAAGTGACAGTGTCCCGTTATGAGTCCTGACACTCTCCTGAGCCGGATTCTGTTCAAGCTCAGTAAATCATTCGCTCTTGCCTTCGAAGGATACTCCATGAGCTCCTTAGAACGGCTATGTCCTGGCCTTGAAGTCCAGTATTTCCTATGTTCTGTCTCAGTCCATTTGCCCAGAGCCCGCCTGACCACACTAGGAGATGTGCCACAGAAGGGCTCCGCGCCAATGAACTTAAACTTACATATGTATTATGTGACCTGAAAAATCAGTTAATTGTGACCCATTTTTATAAGATCCCGTCAACTTTTATAATAGTTCTGTTGATTCGCCGCATTAGCAACCTTTTTGTAGATCCATATGGATTCAACGAACAAAAAAATCGACCTCTTCGATTTTTTTGAAACTTTGAGTTAACCTACTTTGAATTTTATGAGACCCCTGTTTTGTTGTTTTTCCGAAAAAGTTTTTGAAGCTCTGTGACGCCATATCAAAGTTTACATCGTGATAGCGTTATTCCGAAAAGGAAAATGCATATTTCTTTCAAGGAGCCCAAATCATCCTGTCGAAACGTTTATTTTATCTAAATGTGCAGAATTTCATCAGCTTTTAAATGGTTCTTTCAGAATTCAAATTGCTTTAAAACTGACTGAGATAAATGAGAATAACGGAACTTTTGTTCAAAATTGATTTTCACAAAAATCCCACCTTCTATTTTCACCAAATTTGGATATGTTTTTCAATGCCATCTTTTAGCCAAACGGCAATATGCCAACTTGCTCCGTTCGGGAGATTCGAAAATACATATTTTTTTCAAGTGGCCCGTCATTTTGAAACGTTTTTTTTTTTCAGAATGTGAAGTTTCACTTTCAATATCACTTATCTCGATAATAAGTGAGTCTTGGGCCTATAACAACTTTTGATCAGGACATCTCAAACTGTAACATATTTAATTTTCAGTCAATTTGATGGGTTGCTGATTTCCATTAAAGGTGATCCTTTAAAACTGTAACCAGAATTGCAAATACTGTTTACTGCATTAAAATAACTGGTAATAAATAGAACATTTCATTTAATTCACCACTTAATAATTGTCACAATATCCATGGTTTTGATATTGATGAAAACACAGTTAGGTATAACAATATTATTATAACGACTCTGGCAGAATTAGTTCTTTTTACCTACCTAGATATTGTTAATTTAAATAATCCTGTACCTAGGAATTGATTTAAGAATTTAAGGAAATGAGTTAGCTTGCATTATCGACTAATAAACCTAACCAATAAAGTGAATTGAAGGTAATAAATCATAATCATAAGACTACTAAGGAATTTATTTACCTTATGACAAAATATTATGGCACAATAATAGTGCTACTTGTATATTTATAAATAAAATTTGCTAAATAAATTATTGTCAACAATGAATTATCTTATTTTCATTTTTATATTGTTGATGACTACCAATGCAGCAGACTAAACTTTTCTACATTTTTGACAATCAATTTATTCGTTTCTAAAACTAGATTAGTTTTACCTGACGATTTTGTTAATATTTTCCAATTATTTTCTTTCAGAAATCAAATTTATTTTATCAATAAAATTATTGAGAACTGTAAGTTTAATATCCAATGTTTCACTGAATACGCATCATCAACGCAATACCCAAGATTTACAAAATATATAGCACGAGTGTAATTTGGGTTGTATATACCACAGGAATTTTCAGTATTTCATACTCAGTCAAATGGTATGCAACCATTAATACAGTCTTGTGAAAATTTCAAGCATACTTGATTATATATCTTCTACAAGAACAAAAACAAGTTTCTAAATTGCTACAGTTTCTTTATTGAATTTGATAGAATCAACTATTTATTGATAGACTTGACTTTAATATTGAAAAGAAATACATCTTTCTTGTCAAAATATTGTGTTACATCTAATATTTTTTATTAAGTGAAGCATGTTTCTGTTAAATATGGGATATATTTTTCATGTATTTAATTAATTGTTTGTGACCACAAAAAAATATTTTTTTTTTGTAAAATGCTACTATATCGCATATTTACGATGATAAAACAAGATTTTCAAAATGCCATTACAGAATAAGTATATTAAAATATAGGACTTGTCAAATATGCCCAAATTATAAAAAATACCTTTGTAGTTATAACATTTTAACATTTCAGTCACACTGTAATAAAAATGAACAAGAAAGGCAGACTGTTTATTCAATTATTAAATAATAACATTGAATTTTAAGACTATAAAGTTGAATTACACAAAAGCGTAAAAGGAACAATTTTTTCAACGAATTTAAGTTATATTACAAAAAATGGGCATAATTGACTGTGGAAATAACAGTTAGGATTTGTAAATAATAATACAGGTATTTTTATATTATACTTTATAACTACCTACAGATATTCTCAAATGGCATGTTGATCTATGTATTCATGAAATTAACATAAGTGAACAAACTCTTTTATCTATTTATTTCAATTTTATATCATAAAAGGATCTGATGTTTATGTGAAAAAGAATACATCCTTTATCGATGTGACATCTGGATTGTTTAAATAATAATACGTTATGACAAAATATATTCGTTTTTTATATAATATTTCCTCTATATATATTTTTCAGCAGATAAATCTTTTTCTGGAAGATCTTATTGTTAGTAACTTGTATGGAACTCATTGTCTGAAACTTTTTGAATATTCGAGATACTGAAAATTAAAAAATAATAAAATATAGTAAATAAACTCCTGCACCACAATCATCAGTCAGGGATAGTTGTTTTTAACATAACTATTTTTGCTTATATCTCTTTGTTAAGCAGTATTCCACCACTAATCCACATTCTTTACATACATTCTTTATTAACTTGTTTCAATTTGAACTGTTAGAATTGGAACATTCTGTATAATAAACAATGTATTCTTAATACTATATACATATATTTATACTACATTCTAATTTCAACAGAATGTGTCACTTTAACACCGTTATAGCAAAAGCTTTTTTACTTTATGTTTCAATTTGATATACTTCCATTGTTTTTTTTTTTCTAATTGGGACATGTGAAATGAAAAGAATTTGTGATAATGTGTTTATTTTTTTAGTTTGCAAATTATCTCGCAATCTTGCTGTCATATGCTTACAACATGATTTAATGCAAATGAAGGAAACCTAAATATCAGCAGATTATCATGTTAATGAAAAATAAGATGATATATACAACAATAAACAAATTTATATTCTGCAAATTTGATTACATTCTTCCACTACTAGGCCATATAGTAGCTTTTACAGGATACATTTGGGAAAGGAAATTATTAATATTGTTTATTTAAGGAAAACAAATAGTGACTATAAATTATTGTGACGTTCAAAACTTTAAAAATGTAAATTTATTTTATTCTAATATGCAACTC